TTATGATGAAAACATTTCTAAAAAAAAAAAAAAAGGAACAGGGACGCTACGTTGAGGCGGTGAGAAAGTGAATGAAGCTGAGATCAGGACCGATAATATTGCAAATTCTTATTTTATTTTATCAAGAATCTCTAAATACATTATAATAGATCATATAAATTTGGTATCTTTCATTTACTTGAAGGCATCCGCCGCTAGAAGGTGTTGGTCAGATTAGATCGGACTCAAACGGTAACTAAGTGTTGTTGATAACGCGGGACAATTGCTCGAGATATTGAGCATAAAATGCAAACAAGCAAAAATCACTGAAATTACATCAAACCTCGGACCCAACATACAAAATATATTTCATTAAAAATATGAAACAGAAATCAGAAAAATCGAAAAGCTAAATAAAAAATAATCATTACGTTTATTTGTTTTTTTTAATCAAACGTCCATAACTGAAAAACTGATGCTATATATATATATATATATATATATATATATATATATATATATATATATATATATATTATATAATTGGTCAGTGAGGTCAACACTGAGTGCTGACAGACTCTTTTATGCCTAAACGCAATCTTCTGGGCATATTCTATCGCTATTTCCATGGAAAGTGCTCAGATAAACTACATTCATTAGTTCCATCAGTTCTATCGCTCACAGCTAAAATCCGCCATGGCAGGCATATTGTAGCGAACCATTGTCATTCCTTTCGTATTCTATTGGTAGAGAATCGCAGTTCCACACAAGTAGCTTCTTTCGGGACAGCTGCTTTGTAGAACTGAGACTCCCAAGAGGAAAACAAAAGCACTACAGTTCTAAGCTTTTCAAGTCTAGGATAAATAAAGATGTTGTATGGAAATTACCTTTATTTTTTATTTACTTTTGATATATATATATATATATATATATATATATATATATATACTTCATTAAAGACGACAGACAAGCTACTGCGGTTAATCATTTTATTTCATTTTTCTTGTGTTCGAGCAAGTGTTTTCTTTTCTGTAGAAACTGTTCAAATGTTCTGTAATTCCGAGCACTTTAGGCTATACTTTTAGCCATTATCAAGGATGATTTTATTTTTGCCTTTTAATTGGGTGTATGGGTTGTGTTTTAGTTTCTAGAGTTATAGGGATGTTTTATTTTACGAACACAGCACATTGTGGCCGTGTTCATAGTTAATATTATTGAGTTTTGGCTTTTTCATTTTTTTTATTAAAGCTTCCATTATTTTACGTTACATCTATCCGACACACCTACATTAGAACCCATTTAAACACACACAAAAACTTACCAAACTCCATTCGAAACATACTAGTAGAAAATACAAACATAATAACCTCATCCACATTTAAAAAAGATAAACCACATCCGGCAGCAAGGTTTATAATCTGGAGCTTTTGAGGAGCGGGAAATCACCTCTTAATTGTTATTTTTGCCAGGTCCACTCTGACTCGAGGGGGTAACACCTGTTAGGGTCCCAGCCATGGGAAAATAGTGAAGACCAAAACTGGGATCAAAACACTATGGAAGTGTAAAAATACATTCTTATAGTAAACAATTCTAGCAATAGATTTAAGAGCAAAAAAATTAAATTTCGGCATTAAATGACCCATAAGGAGTTGATATACCGGTAAACAAGCCAAACGAAAGCAAATTGTGTCATATGAGAAGAAAGTTCATACTTAAATTTTAAAAATTAACGTGGTGTAACTGTCAAATTCTGCTGAAGTGCTATAAAGTTTACGTATAATTTTTTGTCGAATGTTTCTTTGTGGTTATAAAAGCATACACTATTTTTTTACAGAAAAATAAGACTCAGAAAATTTACAGAGAAAATTCCAGAAAAAGATCCTGAAATTTACAGAGAAAATTTCAGAAAAAAACTCTTCCACGAGATGTTTTCTTTTTTTCTCCTTAATTTCATATTTCTTAATTTTTTTAACCCCAAATTTACAAAATTAAATTAGGGTACGTCATTCAGACTGGTGTGTTCTTGTGACCAGGAAGTACGCTATTTCAATGGGTTTTTTTTTTTTTATCAAAGATTGTCTTTTGTAATCTGGGAACTTTTTTTTTATTCTTATTTTTAAATTTCTCTCTCTGCTTTGTTTTGTTTTATTATTGTTAATTCGTTTTCTATATTTTACAAAAGAAACTTCTGTACACACCTAATAAGATTACATTTCCATGTTTGTTTACATTGAATTCAGAGCATCCTTTTTATTATGTTGGAAAGAATGTTGCTTGTTTTTAGTAATAACTTCAAAGTTGTTTGATTACGTAAAAGAATTACTCGCGTAACTTGTTACATTAGTCTTTCGCTTTTCCTTTAAGGAATATTTAACATCAAATTTAATTTCCAAATTAATATATCCATAGATCATCCTCATTTTGGCTCTTGCATTCTTTAGACTCAAAAAGTGTCCATGGGCTCCGGGAATGGAAAGGAATCTTGACACTCGCTATAGCCGGTGCGGAATGAGTTTTAACCTCTGCGGTTAAGCCACACCCATTGCGACAGGCCACCCTCATTCCCTTCGTATTTCATTGGTGAGATATGTTCCACTTGAGCAGCTTTTTTCCAAGAAATGCTACTTTGTGGAACCGATTCCCAAGAGATTGCTTCCCCAATTACTATAATTCTAAAGGTATAGGGTTAACCCTTATCCTCCCCACATATCCTCATAAACTGTACCCCCTACCTCTTACTCAGTCACGCTCTACCTGGAGTGACTCTTGTACAGGTGAACATTATTGCAAAAAAAATGTAGTTGTTCTCGTTAGTGGAAATAAACTTTTTGTATGGAAATTACTTTTACATTTTTATTTACCCTAATGTATATAAATATATATTGTGGTGAAAATAATAAAAGAACTCTTTAATCTTTCTCTAACTTTCCAGGACTGAATGATTTCCCTTTGTTTTTGTCCTTCTCTCTCCATGATGTAGTCAGCCATTTTCTTGTAACGGTTCGCTATCGGAGTAGATTTTTAGTAGAATAAAGTTGCACTCAAGCTATACTGACTCAATCTTCTTTCATTTCCACTCAAACCCTTTTTCATAACACAAACACACACACACACACACACACACACATATATATATATATATATCGTAAACCTCTACCTTGTTGACTTTCAAAAGTTGTAGCTTCTCAGTCCCAATCCTCTTTCCACTTAACATAAATTATCTCCCTAAGAGTATATATACTCTATTTCATTTGTGAATATCTATGCTGGTGATAGAGCGGTATATAGATGCACCTGCTAAACTCTAGATAACCAAAGCTTGGCAGCTATTCTCTTATATGACCATAGCTTAAAACCAAACTAGTGACGTCCCATCATTACCAAGATGAACCGAAAATTTACACCGATCGCGATGAATGGGTGTTCCCTCAAGGATTCCACCTGCCTTGAGGGCATATTGGGACTTAAACTCAACACAGACCTCTCGGAACTAGTACATATGATCTATTGCTATCGATGCTGAAAAAAGGACCAGTTCCTTGCACCGCTCCAGTAAGTACCTGACTCCTCCTGCTATCCAAGAAGATTGATGTGCGTATCATTTGAAACTCTCTGATTAAAACTACAAAAATTAGGATTCTGTTTCGAATAATCAGTGAAGTATATTGCCAATATTTTATGTCAAATCTCCAGTGTGGAAAAATGTCTGGTTACATTCATTGTTTCAAAAAGCAAACTACTTACATTCCATCATCGCTAATCGGACCTAGAACTATTACCAATCACGATAAATAGATGTTCCTTTAGGGAAGCTTCGTGTCTTGATTGCGTATTAGAACTTACACTCATCCACGGCCTCAAGTGGAACTCGAACCATCGCTAAAAATACTGGGAAAATGATCGGATATCTGTACCAATGCAGTAAGTACCTGACTCTTCCCGTTATCCTCTACCTTTAGAAGATCCAAATAAGGCCTTAAAATGGAGTACTGCTGTCATATATGGGTAGGAGCTGCCCAGTCTTCACTTTCCTGTCTTGATAGAGTCCAAAAGCGTCTCCGCATCCTTGTGGGTGATGAATTATTGTCCACTCACCAACCCCTTTCTCACATACAAAACGACGCAATCCTTTTGCTGCTCTCTCGCTCTTTCCATGGAAAGTGTTCAGTTTGGGAGTTGTAAGTTCCATTCGAGCAGCTTCTTCCCACGAACAAATGCTTTGTGGATCCGACTTTCAAGAGGATGATTTCCCTATCACTACAATCTTAACCTGTTCAAGTCTAGGATAGACCGTTATCTTCCCCACATATTCTATTAAAATGTGCCTCTTACATTTTACTTTATGGAACCGACTCTCAGGAGGCTACTTCCCTGATCACTACAATCTTAATCTCTTTCAAGTCTTGGGTCAACACTTATCTTCCCCACATATTTCTCATAAACGTTACCTCTTGATCTTTATACAGGCTGAACATTATTTTAAAAATCAAAAACAATTTTAATTGAAGAAAATACTTAGTTCACTGCAGAACCGTTCAATACAAATCGTACTACAACCAAACCATTTCCTTGAACTTGGTAAAATGTTAAAACTTGACCATCCGCTTCCATATTAGCATATAGATTCCTACTTTAGTCAAAGAATCAACATCTGTTCATACTGAAGGGCAACACACGTTACTGGAATATTTACGGAAAAGCTAATCACAAGACAATGGTTAGAACAAGAGAAAACTCGTGTCTATCAAAACCAAGATTTTAACCCCGGGGCGTTAATGCTTTTTGTGTTTGGCCGGATATGAAGTTTTTCCTCTACTATGAAGTGTTGCATTGTAACGAAGGAGTCATTTCTAAGCGATATTGTCGTTAAGAGGGAGAAACAAGTTTCACTGGTAAATCAGAAATGTTTTATCTGGTACTTGTGGGAAAATCTGTTTTTATAAAAGTAAAGCTGGCTAAGATATAGGACCACCGAGATGGAGGAGGCTAGCTTCCAACATTTCAATGGTAATCATCGATACAATTTCGTTGATGCAGATACCGGAGTTCATTGTGGAGATCAGCAAAGTGGAGTGATGCGCGTCACCGCGGAACGGCACGACACCATCTTGAGACCTAGCTGGCCGAGTTCATGTGGAAAAGGCAACTATCCAATGGAATCGACCCATTCGACGCCATCCTGCCAACTATCGCCAAGTATAAAATAAAACACATGAAATCCGCTCGATTGAAAATGCGTTTAGGTTTTTGTATTTTTGTAATTGATCTATATTTCACAAATAATCATATTTTCAAATTATAATAAATTTTCCGAATTCCAATAAATTTAATTATCGATTTAATTCAATATCAAACTATAGCAATTTAGAAGAAGAAAATTATGGTCTAAGAGAAATAAATACGATTATTGTTTGTTATTTGGAGAAATAAATATAATTTAAGAAACAAATAGTATTTTTTTTTTTTTACACATCTGTATTTGTGACGAAGTTCGAAAACTGATTTAAAAAGTTGCGACTGATATCACACAAGTACCGTTTCTCTGTTCTTCGATGTAAAAAAAAAAAACGCGCGGACAAAAAAATTGTTCTGAATGTTTTCATGCCGTCCACCCTATTCTCCTGATCTTGTTTCATGGGACTATTTATTGAATTTTACATTTTCAGTGTAGGCTAATTATGGAAAGGTTAAAAAAAAAAAAAGACATCTGAAAACCTAAATAATTTTATGTGCGAAACATTGGCACCACCGATGGAATTATGTAATCGAGAATGAAGGCAACTATTATCTTGGTTAGATTTGTAATTGATCATTAAATGCCGGTATTAAATTTGTCTCAACAAAGATATGAATTTCTTTCCATAATCTCTGCTTCTTATCTTTTACTTTGCAACCTTCTACCTCGAGTCGTTCTGGTTCAGGATGAACATTATTGTAAAAAAGAGTATTGAATGAACTATATTATAATTATATCATTACATCTACATAATACGATTACGTCTACACATAAAATGAATACGTTTCCTCAATGATTAGATCTACACAATATTACGTCTACACATAAAATGATTACGTCTACACATAATGATCTATACAATATAGTTACATCTACACAGAATTATCTCCAAATGATTGATCCTGTTGACGTGATGACCTGTGTTAGTTTTCGTACAGTGCTTCCTTGAAAACATGAAAAGCATTTCAACGCTTCCTCCAGGGTAAAAAGCTTTAGAAAGGCTGATCTATAGTGACATATTTTCCAGTTAAAAGAACTTTATTCACGAAACGGAAACATACGCAGTTTTATTGAGATTAAATCGTTTTTATTCAGCCATAAGTTGTAAAAGACATTTCGCCTCTATGGATACATACCGCGTGAGATATAAGACAAAAGAATAAAATGATACAATTCAATTTTTCTGTCGTGGAAAATATTTCTGATTTTCCTTAATATAATTAAATGTGAACGTCCTCTTCGCCAGCTCTAAAGAAATTTGAGACGTGTTCTTGAAGCTTTCTCACTCTTCATTGCTTAATTTCCGCTGTAGAAAGGCAGGAAAAATACACTGATGACTGAATATAAACATTTGACTCTACCTAATACAGCAAGATATTTAACCTTCGTGACCGAAAAAAAAAAACAAATAAAAAAACGATGTGTCAAAAGGCGGTTATTCCCTTAACACGGCTATTACACTACATTTATATTACTCTATCGGCAATGTTTATTATTCTAAAAAGCGACGATTAGAATTTTAATAAAGCTCATACATATGAAGTAGATTTGTAGTGAGTTCGAAATAATAGTAACTACCTTCACCTACTCCCTTCAAATTCGGGTGAATGAAGAAGAAGAGGGAAAGAAATTCGCGAGCCTGTGTGAAATTTTCTTTGGACCAATGAAAAGCTTGCCTTCACAGAAATTAGCCGCCCAGACAAGAAGAAGAAAAAGAAAGTAGTGAGCCTATGCGAAATTACTTTTGATATAAAATGAGCAAGAAAATTAACTTAAAAAGAAAAGAGTTTCTGAAGTCATATAAAAGGTTTTGTTTCTGTTCTTTGCGAGCAGCGACCAGTGTTCAAATTCTTGTCCGTGTAAATTTAATCACTAATTATATTATCGGCCTTTAACCAAGCAAACAGCACATGAAATAATTTCCTCTCAACAATCCAAGAAAGCTAAGTATTTTAAACTCTTTTTGTCTACTTTTGAACGTATGCAAACCATATATCTTTTCAGTGAACAGCTCTTAAAGAGTTTTTGAATATTATTTTGTGTCAGATCATTTAATCTGTTGTATGAACATTTCCTCTTCAGGACAATTCGTTAAAACTACGGACTTTAAAAATGTCTGATCTATTTTCCTGAAACGAGCGACTGACACAACTTCAAGCGTGTAAATTCGTAAATTAATTCCTTATCTTGTTTTGTTAAAATTACCCATGTGTTTCCTCAGCATAATCATACTCCATTAATCTTCTTGGTATGATGTTAACCAATTGTTCATTTTTACCCTTAAATCCTACGCCACTATAGATTTATACATTTCTTTTGCTCTTGAGAATGACAACAAAGATATTAAACACTATTTATTAGATTGCTTATTTACAAGAATTATTTTATATTTACAAGATTATAAAAATATGTGACTAAAAACTATAATGAAATATTTATTATTTACCATTTTATAAAGAAATAAATTTTTATATTCATAAATTAAAAAAAAAATCTCTATGACGAGTAGGGCTCCTTATATTTTCGGCCTTGTGCCACGTCTAAGCTACGCTTACAAAGTGACCATAACGACGAGTAACTGTAATTGTATATTTTCAAAAAATGTATTTTCTGTTCTTTTCTTTCATTTACTCTCGACACATAAATTCCCTGAGAGAATTTGAGACCATTTCTTCCTCTGAACCAAACAATTTTTGAATTTAGGATTTTAGACTAGGCCACAAATAATCAATATTAATGGTGTGTATATTTCTATTCATTGGATGGACAAAGTTTTCCTTGTGTATAATTACTGAATATATGTCATTTTTACCGTTAATATTACATTGCCGTTGGTTTACATATTTTGATAATTTTTTTAATAAAAAGAGTTCCTTTCAAATTTGTTTAGTTATAAAATGGTAAATAATAAATTGTTATAAAAATAAATAATAAATATTGCATTGTACTTGGTTAACATATTTTACAATCTTATAAATAAATATTGTCGGGTAAGAAAAAGAAAAAGGTATAATGGCGGTATCAAGGGAATAACGTCTTTCTGACACACTATTTTTTGTGGGCACGAAAGTTAAACATTGTTCAACTGTATATTTTAACGATCTTATTTTTCCTCCTGGGTTAATTTTTTCCTGGTTAAAAGACTGTCGAAGTGCAACGCTGTGTTTATCCTCAAACGAATACTCATTAGGAACCTAAATCAATTCTTTGCAAAATTTTCCCAATTCGTTGAGATGTTCGTGGATAGTTGAATATGACAAGTTAAGTTTCTGAGCCATATTTCTAGTGCTGAGTTCTAATTCAATAACGCGTTAGATAGATTTAAAAACCAATGCAGATGATGAACTTCACGTATCATAACTAAAAATTATTACTGAGGAAATCGACTCCCTATGTAAATATTTTAGTAATATTTTTCTTAAGTTTTCTTTTTTGCCTACTATGGCTAGAAAGAAAAAACCCAAAATGTTTACCTTAAAAAATATTCAGTAATTTTATAATTACTGAATATTTTTAAGGCAAAATTGAAGTGTTACAAGTCAATGTTTGTTTTAATTTGCAATAGTTTACTATGCAGCGTCAGCCCATGATATAACAGAAGGGACACAAACCCCTCACTAATATTGTGCAATTTCATTACAAAACAATATTACGATTTTTTTTTCAAAAAGGTGATAATTGTGTAGCAAACATGACTTGATTTACGTGGATTGCACAACTGAAAAATTAAACAAAATATTTAATGGCCACTGGTATAACGCCCGGCACAACATTACTGCATCAATAGAAACATTTCATCACGGACGACTGCAGCTTCGACGAAGACCTCAAGACACGCATCATGGAAGCATATCCAGAATCCACCCACGTTTCAAGTCAACGAATGAAAAAAAGAGTTTATATATATATATATATATATATATATATATATATGTGTGTGTGTGTGTGTGTGTGTGTGTGTGTGTGTGTGTGTGTGTGTGTGTGTGTTTGTCGTCCCACCCCGCGTGGATGAACATAATGACAGAATTCCATCAGATTTACACTAAACTGTTTGAATAATCGCTCTTACCAACTAATGAAGACAAGGAAAAAAATTTAGAAGAGCTTGTTCGCCATGACATTTCACTTGCATTCCATTCAGGTTGAACGCGTTTCACTTGCCTTGTCGTGTTGATTACCAGTGAAACCGTTTTTTTTTTTTTGTTTCAAGACCACCAACGTAAGTACATAGATTTGTATGCATCTTGCTTTATGCATAACTTGAAGAAGACAGACGTACTGTCGAAACACAGTGTCTTCTTTTCTTTTTCTGGAAATCGCGCCCTTTTAGAAGTGTTTTAAAATATTTATTTCAATCGATTCAAGCCAAGCAAGGCGATAATGTCACTAAAACGCAAGGGGCTTTCGTGAAGTAAAAGAAAATGAGGATACTTTAGAAGGAAACGTAAACCCAATCCTAAACAGGAAACAAGGGATAAACCTCTACTCCTGTTCAAAAGACCGGGGAGGAGTGTGAACTGGACTTTAGGTAAAACTATCTATTCCTGTTGCAAGGAGCTACAGAGGGTGAAAGTAAAGGAAAAGACTGAGTATGGGGGGGGGGGTAAAAAGAAGAACGGTGAAGGATAAAAAGAAGAATGGCTATCAAGGTATCAGAAGATGTCGATTGACATTACATTTTTGAAGATTATAGTTATCAGGGAAGCAAGTAAAAGGAAGGGAGTTTCACTGTCGGGAAGTGTTGGATTAGAAGAGGCGGTTATATGTGTTTCGGCAGTAAAAGGGTGGGACCGTGATGCCAATATAGTAGCCCGCTTAATTCCATACAGTCGGGGCACCAGTGAAAATAGCTCGTCAGAGCAGATGTCGTGGAAATATT